TATTTGTATAACTTTTAATAACCCACAAGGCCATCCTTTTTCCTTGTCTGTTCTAGAATTTTCTTGGCTACTCCAGCTGTAAAAAATGTTAAACCATTCACTCTACAATCACAGGAAATGCTCAAATTAAACAGATCCTAAGGTTTGGAAGAATAATGGTAGTTTTTTGGGGGTTTTTTTGGTGTTGAATTTTTAACACTAACAACTGCTTACATCCTACCCACAAAGAGGTATTAGGAGAACACCTCCATTGACAACTGGCACAAGGTCTATATGTCTATAATGCCAGATTATGCTAGCAAAATTGGTTCCAGGTGCAGGGAAACTGGAGCAGACAGCAGATGGGCTAGAGAAGTTTCTACCATGTGGCTGAGCTCCCCTGCTCCTGTAAGTGCATCATAGAGGGCATCCTTGGGCGGGAATTTTAAAACCAAGGCAGCACAATGAAAAACAATACGGCATTTCTTCAAAATATTAAAAATAGAATTATCGTAGGACCAGCAATTCCACATCTGGGTACCTACCCCAAAGAGCAGAAGGCAGGAACCCAAAGACATATTTGTATGCCTACTTTCGTAGCAGCTCTGTGGACTACCATCAGAAAGGGGAAGCAACCCAAATGCCCCTCAGTGGATGAATGGATGAATGGATAAATGAAATGTGCTATATCCACACGATGAATGTCATTCAACTTTAAAAAAAGAAGGAAATTCGGACACAGGCTACCACTGAGATGAACCTTGAGGACATTACCCTCAGTGAAGCAAGCCAGTCACAAAAAGACAAACAGTGTATGAGGCCACTTATAGGAGGTGCCCAGGCTAGTCAAAGTGATGAGATTGAAAGTGGAATGCCGGTGGGGCACCCGGCTGGCTCAGTGGGTGGGACATGCCACTCCTGATCTTGGGGTTGTGAGTTTGAGCCCCATGTTGGGCCCAAAGCTCACTAAAAAAAAAAAAAAAAAAAAAGTAGAATGCTGGCTGCTAGGGGCTGGGAGGAGGGGGAATGAGGAATCATTGTTATTGTTTCTAGAGCTTTCATTTTACAAGATGAAGAGAGTTGCATGGATGGTGGTGGTGATGGTTGCACGACACTGAATGTACTCGATGCCACTGAATTGCACACTTAAAAATGGTGACGATGATATGTCAAAACTCATCCAACAGGTCACTTAAGATTCGTGCATTTCACTGAATATAAAATATAAATGGATAATAAGCTTATATCTTTATTCTTCACCTATTTGCTATTCAGCACGTAATGGGCAGCTCTTTCTAGAGCTCCCGTGGGCCCCCGCCCTGGCCACTGTCGCTACTGTGGTCACCTCCTCCCTCCTCACTGGGCTTCCAGCTCTGCCCTCAAACCCCCCCACCCCCACCACCGCAGCCTGTGAAAACCGAAGTCGGATCACGACCCTCTGCTCAGAACCTCCCATGGCTCCCAACTCACTCAGACTGAAGCCAAAGTCCATCCTTTCCGAAGCCCACAAGCCTCCCAAACCACCCTGACCTCACCTCCTCATTTCCTCCTCGCTCCCCCTCTGATCTGGCCACACTCACCTCCTCCCCCTCCTCCTGTGCTTTTTCTCAACCACCAGGCGTTCCTCACGCTGACTCTTCCCTCTGCCTGGGATGCTCTGCCACCAGCCGGCTGCCTGTCTCCCTCCCTCACCTCCCACCTGGGTGTTCAGATGTCACCTCCTCAGACAGGCCCTCCCTGACCACTATATGAAACAGCCAGCGCTCTTTTCCACATACACACGCACTCACCGGGACCCTCTCCTGCTGTGTATTTCAGCACCGTAGTCACCACCCCTTCGGTATCCCGCAGCTGCGTGCGCCGTCTACCTCCAACCGGAATGCCAGCCCCAAGAGGGCAGGAAACTTCGTCTGGTGAGGTTCCTGGCTGTCACGGAGTCCATGCCCAGCACCTCGGCGCTGACCGAACGCACAGATGAGTGAGGACACTGCCTTCGGGGCCTCGGGGGGTGTACGCAGGGGCTCTTGGCATCACTCCCATCTCCCCCAGAGGAATGGTAAAGGCTGGGCCTTGCTCCCAGCACAGCCCTGAGCAGAATGCTGCCCCCTCCCAGAGAGGGGCTGAGAAGCTTCCTTGCAGACAGCCGAGTTCCCAGCATCTCGCTGGGCCCCATCCCTGGGTGTCCCCAACTTCAGGCCAAGTCAGCCTTTCAGACTCTACTGCTGGCCTGGGTGAACTACAGGGAGTGACTACATCTTGGGAGGTACTTAAAGATGTTGGCCAGATATGGCTTTTCCATAGAGGGAGAGGGGGAAAGCACCCAATTGATAAACCCACTACCCAGGTCTCTATGTGCCTCTACTCCGGCACCTCATTCACTCCCGTCCCCAAACCCAGCTTCCCTTTTGGTCTCTTGTGCTTCTTCCCTCCCTGACCATCTCCGTTGACCTTTCAGAAAACCTTGCAGGGGAGCCCGCTGGGCAGGAGAAAACTGAAAAATCTGCTTCTTTCTGAGGGGAGGGGAGGAAAGGGCCTTCCTCTTCCAGCTGCTTTTCAAAGCGAACTAACATTTTCAGATAAATTCATGTCACCAGTTACCTGTTTTCGAAACTTCTAGAAACCCCAAGATCTGCGGGAGATCCTCTCGAGTTGGTGACAGGCCGCAAAGAGGGCACCTCAAAGGCATCTTCTGTCATGGAAAACTGACGATCCTTGCAGGACTGACAACAGCTCGTGCCAGGCTGGAAGTCTAGGACAGTGTGTTGTTCACTGGGGGGACCCGCTTCTCAAATAATCCATGACCTCACCTATAAGAGCATCAACAGATACTTAATTTGCTAACTTTATTTTGTAACATACATGTTTACCTTTACCCATCATGGTGGCCATCTGTTAACACAATGAAGCCCTAATGGACCCGATTTTGAAACCGGGTGCTGGGGAGTCCCAGGCGTCCCTCACCTTGAGAGGCCAGCACGCTCCTGTGTTTTGTTTTGCACAAACCCAAGGAAAACCTCGATGTGCATGGATGATGTGGATCCAGAGGAAGAGCTGCAAACGGACACCGGTTTCTTCTCCCCCGCCCCCCCACCCCAGGCATCTTCAGTTAAAACTCATCCAGGTTTTTGAAATTAATTGTCATGTTTATTTTCAAGGCGGAATTACTAACAACATCTAACAACTGTTCATATTCTCGAGCACAAAAACTGAAGTCAGAAGAGAGCCCCTGGACACATCAAAGGGCTGAAACTCTGCATGACGGTATTATTACTGAGCGCCATGTGAATACACTGATGTGCTATCATACAGCTGAACGTCACAGCGTAACAAGAGCATGTGAATTACAAAGGGAAACTTCTTCCAGAGCATTACAGCACAGGGCATGCACGGGACGCAATCTCTTCCGCTTGCAGCCTCTCTTATCAGCCACACTTATAAGAAATTCGGCTATATACAAATAGATGGCAGAAACAACTCACTGGAGACCTGTACGAAATCAAGTTCACTTAGGAACACAAGGTAATATTCTGATCGTCTCCTATGTGACGGGTTTGGCTTACGACGTTCAAGGTCCAGGGTTTTTTGTTTTTCTTTTATAGACATGAAAAAAATAGACTCGGTTTACATCTTTGATAATGCCTTGGGCCTCCCAGGACACTTTTTTTTTTTTTAAAGATTTTATTTATTTATTTGACAGAGAGAGACAGCAAGAGAGGGAATACAAGCAGGGGGAGTGGGAGAGGGAGAAGCAGGCTTCCCGCTGAGCGGGGAGCCCGATGCAGGACTCGATCCTAGGACCCTGGGATCATGACCTGAGCCGAAGGCAGACGCTTAACGACTGAGCCACCCAGGCACCCTCCCAGGACACTTTTTAACCACTGGTGTTGGGTATCCCGCCCCCTCCCCCTACACACACACACACACAGGAAACATGGTATGCTAGTCTATTCAGAGAACAGAAATTAACAGCCAACTTTTTAAGAATTTTTTTCCCTCTCTTATTATAACGTGAGAAGTGTCTTCAGCCCCAAAGATGTGGAGAATTTGGTAGTGCTGGATGGACTTGGGGCTGGGATGCCAGAAGTGCTTGAGTCCTTCCCTACCAATCACGCTTCCTCCCCACAGGCTTCCGGAGAGCATCTGACCCCAAATGGGAGTCCAAGTACCATTTTTATTCATAGAACCTAAACCTCAAACATTTCAAAGCCTAAGCACACACTCTTGTCCCCCAGAACTAACTCTTGGGACCTGCCTGCCCTCTGGCTAGTTAACTGGAGGATGGAAGCTGAAGAGCAGGAGGGGCAAGGAAGGCAGGTCTGCTTTGAAGATCTATGCTTAACTTCCCAGTAGGTGAAACACAGAGAAGGTGGGAGAAAGTGCCGAACATGAACAGGCACCCTGCCCATGTACGGAAAAGTGAATATGCTAGGATTTTCCCAGTCTGCTTAGCGATTCTCCAATCTCTGAAGGTGAGTCGAGGGGGAGGGGCAAAAGCAGGCCTGGCAGAGAAAAGAGCAGAGAGGTGCACCTCCCACCTCTCCCACCTAAGAGCTCAGGCATGGTTTTCCTCTGAGAGGCCCATCTCTCCAAACCGGGTCCCTAAGAGTCCAAAGTCATGGTTCATTCATTAAGGAAAAAAACTTTGTTCCCCATTTGATACTTCATCCTTGGTTTTCTTTCAACTAATAGGGTATGGGTGGTCCCCCGAATCAAAGCTTTCTGGGTTCTGTGGATAAATTAGAAGAGCTCACCAGGGAAGGAGATGTCATTTCTTACTTCCTTGGACCTTTTAAGTGCTTGAACATTTCTATCCTGCAACCAGGCTTCCAGAAAACTCCACCCTCAAAGCCATCGACCTGACAAATGTTCTCACTCCCAACTATTCGATTCTTATCAAGGGAGCTAGGTCGGATGGAGTAGCAGAACGACTTGAGACTACCACAGCGACACTCAAGCAACAAAGGAGAGGTGAGGGGTTTGCTTTGCCACCTCCTGCCCATAGGTGTCCCCAAGGTTGGCCTTCAGGGGCTCCTAGGAGGGAGGTCAGGGCTCCTGCCCTCTAAAATCTCAACTCGTGTGTCATCCGCCTCCTCCACGGCACTGGGGTCCTCCTCGCGCACCACCTGACCTGCCACGCCCCCTAGTGACTCTGCGCCCACCTGCCGCTCCCGCTCGGGTTCCCGACTCATCCACTTGCCGGCACAACCCAAATGACTTCTGTTGTCATTCTGACCACTGGAAGCATGAGGAGAGCCTTCCGGCTTGGCCTTTGGGCCCCGAGACGTCGAGGCTGGCAACCCCATGGGCTGGGGGCCTCGAAAGGCCTTCTGAGCTGAGCCATCTCTTCTTGAGCCCGGCCCTTTCTTCCCCATCACTGGCTTCTTCTTGGCATCTTCTAAATCGACAAGGACGTACGAAACAGGGCCCAAGCTCACCTTCTTCTTCTTTCTCACGGGGGCAGGGCTCTTTGCCAAGGCCCAGCCCATGGCCTTCTTCTTTGGGGGGCCCTCCTGACCGCCATCTTGGTCTGACAGCGAAGCAACCCCAGGGCTCACAGCTTCTGACCGGGCATCATGGGAGGGGCTGCTGGGAGCCTTCCAGGCACATTTTGCCACAGGCTTTTTCAAAGCCGACTTCTCCTGCTTCACACAGGGCTTTCTGTTGCTCCTGACGGATTCTGACACCTCCATATTTTCAGCACCATCAGCCTCAGGATCCTCCAAAGAGACTGAGCTGTTGGAATGGTGGCCTTTGGGCTTATTCCAGAGCACTGATTCCTGCTTAGTGTTTTTTTTCTGCTTCTTTCTCCTGGAGCGACTTTTAGCTCCAAGCCGGCGAACCAGAGGTTTGGGAGGGTCACCTTTGTCTTCCAGGTCATTCCAGGTGTCGGGATTCTCCATCTTCAAAGCAGAACCTAGTTCTGCAGCCCGCCCTGGCTCCTTCTTGACCTTCCTCCACGCTGCTAAGGCTGAGGTTGCTACTGCCTGGGCATCAGCCACTTCTTGAGCCCTAGCTTCCTCGCGGCCGCGGATCTCGGCATCCATGTAGAAGATGATTTGCACCACTGCCCCCAGGAGCACCCCCAAAGCTTCTGCCCAGTTCTCTGGGGGCTGATTCTGGGGCCGTGAGGGGTGGCTGAGCTGGAGCAGGCGGACCACATCCTCCCAGGTACGCCCCTCGGCATCCAGGAATTCATTCAGATTTTTCAGAAACTCAGCATCCTGGGTGGGGTCTCTACAAACCACTGTCCAGACGCCCCCCCTTCCTGGGAATTCCCGGGGTATGGCCCTGAGATTCACACCCTCTCCTACCTCAATGAGGGCAGCTTTGGCATTCTCTTCCCTCAGAAAAATCTTATTGAGCACGAAGTATGGGCCCAGCGGGGAGAGGACCCCATTCAAAGTCTCCTCAATTTCTGCTTGATCACAGTCCTCTGGGATGCCCGTGACCAACAGGGACCTGTGGATGTCCACTTCCATCCCCCGGCACCAGTCCTCCAGAAGGTTCATGGCCATGGTCGCGGACACCTGGCGGCTCTAATCTCACGTGCACTCAACAGTCTACAAGGTGGACGGTCCCCAGATATTGATCCTGTAAGGTGACAGGACAGGGAGGTCAGATTCCCCGGACGACGGCCAGGTTCAGAGATCTCAGCTGGCCCCTGCGCGGCGGGCCTACAGGCGGCCTCGCGCTTCCCCAGGCCCCTCCTCCCCAAACCGGGCCCCCGGGTGCTCACATGTGTCCTGCGACCCGCCGAAAACCGCGCTCGGCCCTGCCCCGGGCCTGGCCGGAGGACGCCCAGTAGGGATCTGGCAGCCCCGCCCCCGGCCGCCCGCTCGGGTCGGGCAGAGGACAGGCCGCCGGGATGCAGCCGCTCGCGAGGCGCCTGCTCGGCCCACCCAGGCCGGCTGCTCCCGGCCGAAGGTGCCGAGAAGCCGGCGGCCACTCCTGCTCTGGCCCCGGCGGGTCACGCGGCGCCTCGCCTCGATCCCCGCAGCTGCGCGGAGCCCAGGCCGGCGTCGCATCGCGCGTTTGCGCACTTGCGTCCGCGCCGGTCCAGCGATCGTCATGGCAACCGGCCATGGCTGCGGATGCGCCCCCCGGCCTGAGGGGGGCCCAGCGCGAGAGCTGGGGCGGGGGATAGGGGGCGTTCAGCAGCTCCCCGAGCAAAGGGTCTGCGCATCTCCGATGTTCCCTCCAGACGCACTCTCTCCACTCTTTTCAGTTCAACGTGGGCCTCGGGGACCGGGGTGGAGTGCCCCGACTTCTATGATAGCAACCAACTAGCCCTCCTAACCTCTCCCTTTCTGCTGGGTTCAGCCCATGGGACTCCTGGGAGCCACCAGGAACCCGAGGGTGAGAGGAAACAGCAGCTTTAATCCCCCTGAGTTCTTCTAACAAAGCCAAAGTTCCTGACAGCTCCGTCATTTGGCCACAGTTTCCCTGCTTCCAGAAACATCCAGGAGCTTCTAGAAACTCCTGCCTTCTGACCCACGTGCCCTTCAAGTCTGGGCATAGTGCCTCATCTCTCCTTGCTAGCTTCCTCAACTTGCTGCCCACAGGCAACACCTTTGTTGATGGTTAATGAAACACTTCTCAATGACTCAGTTTTGAGTTGCTGTTTCCTGTCAGGACCTCACCGATGCACCTAGCAATGCTGCTTACTGGCTGCACAGCCTCAGACACTTTGAGCTCTCCGAGCTCCTTCCTCTTCTTCCTAAAAGAAATACCAATAAAAACCTTCGTGATCAGCACTTTGAAGGTTCAGGGATATCACATATGAAAGATGCAGTGAAGTACAATTTTGGCCTGAGTATTCAACCAAAATCTGTAATTTGGATTCCATTTTGGAATTGGGACCTTTGCAAGACCAAATAGCCAAATGCGCGTTCAGCTGTCATCTCTAGCATCCCTGAACGTGGGTGTGATCAGTCCTTTGATTTTGCAATATGTGTGTGATTGCCCAAGTTCCCATGATATTTCATGGGGGGAAAAAAAGACATGTCATTCAAATGGTTAAATCTGAATATCTCATTCTAATAAACACTCTAGCCATAACTAGAGTTTAAAAATCTCGTGTACTTTACCTGTGGAAATTCTATTAATCAGCCGAAGAATGAATGTGTATCATCATGCAGTGGTTTTAAAACATGGCCGTAAGTTTTTTTATATTCCTATCGAAAGGTGGTGATCTATGTCCCTCTTATTGAATCTGAGCAGACTTGTAAATTCTTTTTTTTTTATTTTTTTATTGTTATGTTAATCACCATACATTACATCATTAGTTTTTGATGTAGTGTTCCATGATTCATTGTTTGTGCATAACACCCAGTGCTCCACGCAGAATGTGCCCTCTTTAATACCCATCACCAGGCTAACCCATCCCCCCAACCCCCTCCCCTCTAGAACCCTCAGTTTGTTTTTCAGAGTCCATCATCTCTAATGGTTCGTCTCCCCCTCTGACTTACTCCCCTTCATTCTTCCCCTCCTGCTTTCTTCTTCTTCTTCTTCTTTTTCTTAACATATATTGCATTATTTCTTTCAGAAGTACAGATCCGTGATTCATCAGTCTTGTACAATTCACAGTGCTCACCATAGCACATACCCTCCCCGATGTCTATCACCCAGCCACCCAATCCCTCCCACCTCCCACCACTCCAGCAACCCTCAGTGTGTTTCCTGAGATTAAGAATTCCTCATATCAGTGAGGTCATATGATACATGTCTTTCTCTGACTGACTTATTTCACTCAGCATAACACCCTCCAGTTCCATCCACGTCGTTGCAAATGGCAAGATCTCATTCCTTTGGATGGCTGCATAATATTCCATTGTGTATATATACCACATCTTCTTTATCCATTCATCTGTCGATGGACATCTTGGCTCTTTCCACAGTTTGGCTATTGTGGACATTGCTGCTATAAACATTGGGGTGCACGTACCCCTTCGGATCCCTACATTTGTATCTTTGTGGTAAATACCCAGTAGTGCAATTGCTGGATTGTATGGTAGCTCTATTTTCAACTGTTTGAGGAACCTCCATACTGTTCTCCAGAGTGGTTGCACCAGCTTGCATTCCCACCCACAGTGTAGGAGGGTTCCCCTTTCTCCACATCCCCGCCAACATCTGTCGTTTCCTGACTTGTTAATTTTAGCCATTCTGACTGGTGTGAGGTGGCATCTCATTGAGGTTTTGATTTGGATTTCCCTGATGCCAAACGATGTTGAGCACTTTTTCATGTGTCTGTTGGCCATTTGGATGTCTTCTTTGGAAAAATGTCTGTTCATGTCTTCTGCCCATTTCTTGATTGGATTATTTGTTCTTTGGGTGTTGAGTTTGACAAGTTCTTTATAGATTTTGGATACTAGCCCTTTATCTGATATGTCATTTGCAAATATTTTCTCCCATTCTGTCGGTTGTCTTTTGGTTTTGTGGACTGTTTCTTTTGCTGTGCAAAAGCTTTTTATCTTGATGAAATCCCAATAGTTCATTTTTGCCCTGGCTTCCCTTGCCTTTGGCGATGTTTCTAGGAAGAAGTTGCTGCGGCTGAGGTCGAAGAGGTTGCTGCCTGTGTTCTCCTTTAGGATTTTGATGGACTCCTGTCTCACATTTAGGTCTTTCAACCATTTGGAGTCTATTTTTGTGTGTGGTGTAAGGAAATGGTCCAGTTTCATTAGACTTGTAAATTCTTTAACCGATAGAGAGTGTGGTCAAAGGGAAATTATTGGGCCAAGAGCATCACGGAAGGGAATCTATGTGACTTCTCATGTTATAAAGGGCCATGCAACTTCTTCCTTGTTTGTTGGGACCCTCTCATTCTTGGATCCCTGAACTCCAAGTAAGAAGGTCAACTAGCCTCTGGCTGCCATGTTGTGAGGAAGCTCAAGCCAACTGGAGAAGCCACATGTGTGTGCGCCAATCAACAATTCCCAGCTGAACCCAACCTTCAAATGATCTTGGCCCAGGCATCAGACATGTGAGTGAGAAAACTTCTAGATGATTCTAGCTCCTAACCATTTGACTCACTCCCCAACGATTTACATCTTCCCAGTTGAGGCCCAGTCATCATGTAGTGGAAACAAACCATCACAGCTGTCCCCTGTGTGAATTTCTGACCCACAGAATCAATGAATGTAACAAAACGATCGTCTACACTGCTAAGTCTTGGGGTTGCCTATTAGGCAGCAAGATATCATTGGAAGATCCTGCAAAGGTGAAATGCAGCAAGGATCAATGATGATTGGTAAAGCATTACTACAAAAGAAAAGAAAGCAACAACCTTAAGTCTGCTCCCCAAAAAAGATTCCCCCAAACAGCTTTTTCAAGCAGTGCACAAAGATGCGCTTTCATGGGATTTCAGTTCCATGGGATTGTTTCAATGAAATAGCATCATCACCATCAACCAGATCTTCCACCTTGTGAGTTGAAGAGGAAATAAATTTTCTACTGTAGTCAGTTACTTTTAGCAAAGAAGGAAATCTTGATAGTTTGGTGACATGTCACCCTCAACAATGCTGTCAAAAATGTCTTGTTCCGGGGTGTCTGGGTGGTTCAGTCGGTTAAGCGTCTGCCTTTGGCACAGGTCATGATCCCAGGGTCTTGGGATCGAGCCCCACATTAGGCTCCCTGCTCAGCGGGGTACCTGCTTCTCCCTCTCCCTCTGCCTGCTACTCCACCTGCTTATTCTCTCTCTGTCAAATAAGTAAATAAAAAATCTTTAAAAAAATGTCTTGTTCCTTCATCAGCCATTTAGTATCATAAATGGGCAGGAGAGAGACCAGAGGAGTCAGCTAGTAGCCACCTGTGCTACAAAATTACACTGGCGACTACATTTTGAAAAAATAAAATTGTGATATAAATTGAAAGGTTTTCATAACATTTCAGATTTATTCCTATATTCCCTAAAGTTTATTCTATAATGGCCATCTTTGCCTGTGACCAAATACTCAGCCATTCAAAATTTTGTCAAAATGTGTATTTGGTCCTGACACATAGCCAGCTCTTTTTATTCTTGTAACAGCAGGAGTCCCAAAGGGCTTTCCCACTGTTGAGCAGACTTCTTTTATGCTCTCTCCAGTGACCTGGAGTTTGTTCTGGGATGGTTGAACCAATGGGTCCTGGAAAGTAGCGAGAGGGTATGACTTAACTGCTACCAAATGGGATGTTCTCTTTAGAAAATTCTGGCAACTTGTACTGAAATCTAGCGCTAGCACAGGGAGCTGTTTTAAATTTGCTGACTGAGAATAGCTCAATTGAGAAAGCACAAAAACACCCAGAGTTGATGAGGAAAAGAGCAGCTAGAACTCTCATACAGGTACATGGCTGGTGACAATGTAAACTTTGGAAAACTCTTTAGCTATATCTACTAAAGCAAAACGTATGAGAACTCTACACCTTAGATGTATATACCCAACAGAAATGTGTTCACTAAAAGCCATGGGTGAGGATATTCACTGCAACACGATTCATGATATAGCTGTAATCTAGAAGCTGCCCAAATGCCAATCAACAGAAGAATAGATAATTGTGGCATGTTCACCCAATAAAATACTACTCAATTAGAAAGAATGAGCTACAACTACACACAACAGTGTGGACGAATCTTGCGACTATGATGTTAAGCCAAAGAAACCAGACACAAAAGCATGTATGGTATGATCCCATTTATTATATGAAGTACAGAAGACAGGCAGAATCAACCTATGCTATTAGAAGTCGGGACAGTGGTTTCCTGTGGAATGTCTTAATGACTTGAACTGTGGGACTCCCAGGGGGAGGGAGAGCTGGTGATGCTCTCTTTCTCTTTGTGGGTATTGGTTATGGGTGTGTTCAGACTATGAAAATTCAGCATGCTGTATGCCCATGACATGCGCACTTTTGGGTAAATAATGTATACTGCAATAATAGGCTTTACTATTTTGCTGATGGGTCGGATGTGAAGTGCAAGGGTAACCGAGAAAGAATGACTCCTGAATTTTTGACATGAGCAACTAGAAGGAGAGTGATGCCATTTCTTTTTGCCTGGGGAAGATTTGATGGAGAACGCATTTGTGGTGGAGGGGAGAGG